CCACTGGACATATTGTGTACTCACTTAACCAACCAAGCAGCAGGCAGTGCCGAGACCGGTGAGAGGGAGATTACACAGCACAATACCCCTGGCATACAATCAAAGCCGACTATAATCCCGGCATTCAGAGTTACATTATAGACACAGTACTACCGACTAAAAGTTACCCTTGCTACTATGAAAACCAGAAAACGCAAATGATTTATAATACGCACACAAAGGATAGATATAGGCAATTCAATCATATAGGTGCAAACAGTATATAACAGCGTGGGCTCAGACCGGAGTATATTGTTGCTGGCGTACATGCTAAGACGACCATTTGTAAACACACACTTTAGAAGCATCTTAGAGAATCCTTGCATGTGTTGGTCGGCTGTACTAGGAAACAGAGCGTGCCCGCGATACAACCACTCACATGCGACAAACACAAAAACAGCCGCGAAATCAATGCTGTCATCATCTATTGGAGCGAGTATAATAACCGACAGAGTTGATCTTAATGTACACACCTGCCAGACAGGTCTCTGGACACACGCATGTATGTATAATGCCCATCTGGACAGGGACACAACTTGTTGCTGACACGAGTGCGTCACATCCCTGTCTCACAGACAAAGGCAGACTCTGTCCCGCTCTCCTCCCCCCTCCCCCTCGCCCTCAACCACACACACACGCCGCACTGCACGCCACAGGAGAAGGCTCTATGTACTCACTCGCGTGAAAGTTTGACAACTTGCCACTACTGACAACACACAATTGGATATTGCCGTTACCGGCTCAGCTTTGTTATCGCTAGAGATGGAGATAGTGCCTGTACACGAGACACACACGGCAGTCGACAATCATGTCTGCAATAGGCGGCTTTGAATAGCTTTGGATGTGTGAAAAAGTATTGATTTCATGCGTCGTTAGCAAACCGTACACATCCCCAATGTACACACATGATGCAAACCTTTCAACGGTAACAAAGCTATGAGTATCGGCCCAGAGTGCAGCTGCGGCTTTAAAGCGGTTTGAAGAGAGCCCGGGGAGGTGATTAGGTGGACTTGAACCTACCCACTTAGGCAAACAGGTGCGAACGCATACTCGGAAACATGCGTGTGTAGTATGGGAATGATTGAGGTCGCTCAACGAACAGATTGGGCAGTACGGCAGAGCGTACAGGGCATGCACATACTCTGCTAATGGGGCTATAATGTTCCTCGTTTACCCTTCTCCTCCCCCTCTCTCCCTCCTACCTCTCTCCTCACCTTGCTCTGCTGACAACCGGATGACGACATGGGGTCACATGAGGAGACCAGACACGGGAAACACACTCCCCCATCTCTCTCTTTCTACTTTCTCCCCTCGTTCTACACATCCCCTAAACACCCACCTCTCACACACTCTACACAGCTCCCTCCCTCCCAAACTTACTACACACTCCCCTTAGCTCCCACCTCTTTCTTCTCCCACTTCCCCTTATCCCTACCTTTTCCCACCTTCACGTTCCCAGCTATATAGTATCTTCTCTCGATCCCTTTCCTCTTAACACCCACCAGTTCTTTTTAAACGGGGGTCTCTCAGCAATAACCCAATGAAAAACAAATTATCCACACCTATAGCATATCCCCTGTTAATTCATGATGGTAAGACATTACTCCCTACATCACACCTTCTCCTCTTCTCTCGCTATTCAAACTCCTTCTTCCCTACACTCCTGCTAGTGGACTATTCAAAACACAATGCAGGAAAGCTTTTCCTCCCCGTGAAGTTTGTTATAGTAACACCACTGGATCGAAAGTCTAGTATCACCGTCCCACAATCACTGCTGCAGGGGGGGTCCGGTGCCACACGCAAGGTCGGAAAACTGAAGGAATTTGAAGTTTTTGCAACACACGAGAACAGAAAAATATCCTTCTCTTAGCCAACAACAAACCGACCTGGCCTGCTAGGCACTCACCGCTGAGGCTTGCGCGAGTTCTGTGTGACACTCTACGCTGCAGAGAAAAATAAAACGCTATCACTTTCCTAATACACAGAGCATCCAGCGAAAACACTCATTTGCAGTGTTGCACATGCACGCCGCCGGGTGGCACCAACAGCCCCCTGCCCTGATAAATGGCAGCGGGACTCCTTTCATTCACTGTTGGCACGGGGCGACGTCCGCTTTTGCATCACTCACTGCTCTTGGGATACGTACTCTATCGGGATGGTTCACAAGTGACGCGTGTTAACCACAATCTATCTAACGGCTCCCAGCTTGCCCTCTCGCGAGAGCTAAAAAAGGAGAAAAACCGGTTAATTTTGTAAGGCGGTAAACGTGTGTGGCATTGGTTTTGATTTTGACGAGGTGGTTAACAGAGCTGCGTGTTGTTTGTGAGGTATTGGTACACAGAATGACGCTATTTTTTAGTGGCTATGTATGCAAAACTGAGAGCGAGACAACGTCAAGTGTACCAAACATTAGGAAAATATTTATGAATTCAGGTATATACACCGCGCATACCATGTGAATCTAACTTAAAAACTTCCTGAGTTTTTGGCCACACCATTCTTATATCTGTCTAACAGGATACATGGCCATCATACTATGTATACACATAGCTCAACTTGACATCATGGCAGAGGAGAGGGGATGGGGGAGAGGGTGATGAAGGGAAGAGAGAGTGGTGGAAAAGGAGGGGGGCATAGAAGGAAGCGGGAGAGAGAGAGCGATACACACCAGACAAAACAGGATCTCTCGACAGAGTCCAGAGGCGGGGTCACCACATGGCAGGGCACGCATGGCTACCCTTGCACCATTATTATGACATCGCTGATTTATTGCTCCACTATACTATCCCTGCGTATGTATGTATGTACCGTAGAGCACGCAGGGACAATTCAGAGATTATACAACATCAATACTTTCAATTGTAGAGTGACCACATGAAAGGAAGCAAAAATCACCGTTGACTAATTGTAATGGATTTCACAGGCCATTGGCTTTAGAAGTGGGCTAACTGCACAGAATTTAATATGCATTTCAGACAAATACAAGTGGCCACAAATGCAGGAAATGGTTTAGTGAGTCACATTGGTTATTACGGGAAAGTCGGTAAAACCTTATTTTAAAAATCTCCCTGTATGAATGTCAACTATCTGCGAGATGAGCCACTCAGCTATTTTGTATACTTATACAGTCTCTTTCAAATCGTTCATACTGCACATGCTCAGTCGTGGTATATATGTATGTCCCTTTGCTAGTGACAGTGAATCGTTATGCACATGTTCAGTCGTGGTATATATGTATGCCCTATGCTAGTGACAGTGAAATCGTTCATACTGCACATGCTCAGTCGTGGTATATATGTATGCCCTATGCTAGTGACAGTGAAATCGTTCATACTGCACATGCTCAGTCGTGGTATATATGTATGCCCTATGCTAGTGACAGTGAAATCGTTCATACTGCACATGCTCAGTCGTGGTATATATGTATGCCCTATGCTAGTGACAGTGAAGTGTGGCACAGACTCTCGGCTCTGAGGACAGGGAGGCAGATGGAGTGACATAGGGATATGGATACCACATCTGATAAAGTGAGCCATCCTCCAAGGGAAGGTGCTGCCATCCAGCCACCCAGTCCCACAATCACACACGGTGTTTGTAGGTTGTATGCGGTTCTCATTACCAGCTTGGAGAGAGGGCAGGAGAGCTAAACCAGAAGGGATGGAGGAGCTTGGTCTCTGTCGCTCTGAGGACGCATCCCCAGTGGTGCCTGCTCTCGGGACTCGTTGGAGACTCGTTGGCAGAGGATAACCTCCCAATCTGCAACATTATGAACGACACACAGATCCAGATAGACAGCAAAGTAAATGCATAGGGGAAAAAACAATGCTCAATGCAAATGTTGCACTTCAGAAAGGTAATGCATGACTTGCTGTATCAGTGCTTTTCCCTCTCATACATATCTCCTCTCAAGCAAACACTTTGGCATGACTCACAACATCAAAATGTGTGATAAGACCATGAGGGGGAAACCAAGAGTGTGTCTGAGTTTACACAGCAATTTGGGCTAGAAAAACACTGATGAGAGTATCACTTTTACAAAACGAGGCTGGCTGGCGAACAAACCTGCGCACCCGTTTAGTCGGCTAGATGAGATGTTTGTGCACAATCAACACTGCCACACTGTATCAATATCGCACAGCAGCAGTAACAGAGTGCAGCCATGCGCGAGCACGAAACAACTTTATGGATCTGACTGTTTGAATGCTGGTCGAAAACACAGATCCATTCAAAAACAGCAGCGGCTGTGCAGGCGGGGGACCCACAGCCACAGCCACAGCAAAGGGCACAGGAAACGCGATCAAAGTTGTGAGCTCTGGTGCGTTTAATAATCGTACGGGTGCAGGCGCGGCGGCATTCCGGAACCGCAACGAGCCGTGTGCTCGTCGCGCCAGACACACGCGCACGCATCGCGGACGGTTCGTCGGCGGTATAAACTAACTAACCTCCCCTGGCCTCCGGGATGACTCCTGTGGGGTCTCCGGACGTTGCAGTAGAGCCCGCGCACGCCGCTACTCAACTTCTCGGACGAGACCGTGTAACCCCGCGCATAGAAGAGGTAGCCCCGCCTTCTTTCGAACCGTGATCGTCTCGGGCGCGTGGGCCCGCTGTCACGCTGCTCCAGGGGGGCACTGTGATGTTAGAAGACGCTCCTTCGCCACTTCTAGACACACTCTCGCTAATTCTTCCGCCAGTGGCGCTCCACGATTTGGAATCATAGCGTCGTACGATGAGGTCCAGCACGTCGGGAGGGATAGTGAACTCCTTCATCCACTGACCCCACGTTCCCCGCGGCCGGGAGTGTGGCACGGTGATAGGTATCTGTATCTCCTCCTCGGGGGAGTCCGTCACAGTCGTCAGCATCTTTGCTTCCTCGAGAAACTCTCTGTAAGAGCTCATCTTGTCTTCTTTCCCCAAAGCAAAGCGCACACGTGGGTCACGTGAGCCGTTTTGCTGAATCAGCAATGATTTTACGCGCGTCATCATGCCCATAGGTTCACAGAAAGCTCTAAAGCCAAAGCCTCCAGACAAAGGCAGTTTTCCTCTGGACCACGATGGTACGTGGTAGAGCCGTAATGCTTCTATTGAACCACTCGAGACCTATCATTGGCCTCTCTTTGGGCACAGGAGAGTGCAGGGATCACATGATGAAGTTCTTGTCGTGTCTGAAGGAGAAGGGTAGTGACAACAGCCTGTGTCGAGACGAGTCCCAGAGCATACCCCAGTGTAGACTGGATAGGTATGTCCTCTCCTTTCATAAGTCAGTACGCACACGACTTTGTATGTAAATCTTATTTACACCCCATCTCGCTATGGCACATGCACATGCATCACAACACCCACTATACCTAATATACTGCTCCTCTTTCCAGAGTACTGAATGACACAGAAGACTCCTCCGGAACTGACTAAGGAGCCCGACGAGATTAACTTGACGATAGCACCACAGCATCAATATAAAAACGTTGAAAAAAAGTCAGAAATAATACACAGGCAAATCCATCAGGGGCATAAATGCAAGAAACGGTGTTAGGGTGAGTGTAATGTCCTCTGCTGCAAACGGCGTGCTACTTGCTACCACCTCCGGGATGCGTAGAATGGCTCAGCGTCCCTGTCATAATAGCTAGCTGCATGCTGAGGAGAGGGAGAAAGACATTGGACCATTATGGCTTTTGTAGTCTAAAGTTGTTGGAATGCACATGCATAGTGACACAGGTCTATACTTGAAACCTTGCTACGCTAATGATTCTACACAACCAGTCTGCAGTCTACAACATTTAGTGAACTAAACTTGGTGTTAAAAATTGCACAGGATCCTAAAATGCTAGTAGAATCTCTATGGTGTTAGGGGCTCGAATGTCTAGATTCTCAAAACTTATCCCAACCCAAATATATAACACAACTGTGACAGACCACAGTGGAGTTTAGCAGTGGAACATCCAATAAGGCCCCTCGAGATAGGGGACGACATCTCGACAAAGACACTTGCTTGAACCCCATGCTCAATACGTTAGTGTATGTATTGTTTGACCTCTGAGATAGGGTGACGACCTCTCTACAATTGTGGCCCCATAGTGGTCCCTGTTTGGAGAGGTTCCACTGTCTATAGGTGTCTCGTCTCCTCTACCTGCCCTAGCTTTGGTACGAGTAGTATAATAGTCTCGGCCCGGGCTCCGATCTGCGTCCCCTCCATCCAGTCCTCTCCCACGTTGCTCCTTGCTCCCACGGTAGTCAGGTACTGTAGTAGTCTCGCTCACTGGTAGTAATCTCGCTCCGTAACGATCGTACGTAGTAGTGCACGTTGGGTAGTGGTCGTAGCTGGACTGGTAGCGGTCGTAGTCGTCGCGGTGGCCTGAAACGGTCGGAGTAGTCTCTCGTCCCTTCCTCGCGCGCGCCCCTCCCCGCTGCGGTAGTCTCGGCGTCTTGCCGCCCTTGCCGGGAGTTTCATGAAACACTCGCGCAGCGAGAGATTGTGACGGATGGAGTTGCGCCAGCCCGGGTTCTCATGGTTGCGGTAGTACGGAAAGTTCTTGGTGATGTAGTCTAGATGCCGTTCAGCAGTCAGTCGCTTATCGGAGCATTCTGGATGGACATGTAGATGAGCGCAACGTAGAATACGGCGGCTCACAGTTTCATCTTATCGTCTCCATCATCCGAGTACGCCTGTTCGGCTGATCGCCCGCGCGGGACAGTAGCGACGGGCTCTGGAGTCGCCTTGGCACTCTTGCTCATCTTGAGCGATTTCTCGAGCGCCAGACGAATCTCTCTCTCTCGCAGCTCTGGTTGTACGGTGTGTGACCGCGGCGGAGCACTGCTGTGACTCTGCGGTGCTCGGCGATCCTGCTTCGGCGGATATCTGCATCGCGACGGGCACGCTGTTGATAAAAATACGAATCGAAAACAAAAACCTATGCTTGCGGAAATTAATGAAAAGCACTGAAGTGCAAACCCTCGGCGCATTGTGACGCGCACGCGTAAGTAAACGCATGCGCCGTACCACTAATTGATGGGCTGGGTTTAGTTTTAGCTGTACTCGTGGTCTCTCCCAGCTCGCGCAGAGTCTGACGCGGGCTAACTACACTACTAGATAGCATGCGAGAGGCGATACACGCCCTACGTTGCATCTTCTGGTGCCTCTGAGGTACGCAGAGCACGCGGATCGATCAGACCGTGGTAAGCCGTCCCGTCCGTTGCCTATTTGCTATACTAGTCTCTTTTCTCGCTCTATGCTCTGCAACGGAGCAGTTTCAGAGAAAACCCCACATATTTTCTGATACTTCATTGCCCGTTCAGTAGGTGGTATCCTTTGTGAAGACGAACGAACACTCGAGAAGTGAGATGACGAGTAACAGACAGACACACACCACACACACACACACAGACAGACCCAAGTACTGTAACTCGCTGCGCATGCGCGCCGAGGGTTAATA